AAATAAAATTGGAAACAAATGTTAATCCTCTATGATAGTAGGGATAAAAAGATGGAAACCACTTGCAAAGGGGGTGACATTATGGGGTATCATTACAATTCTACTCAATTATACCTCACTAAAAACATTCTTCTTGGATATTCCCTCACTTTATTATTGACTTCCTTTTATTTTTCATCATATATTCTTCCCCTCTCTCTCAAAAGGAAAAGTTAAAAAAAAAAAGAGGATAAATTCCCATGATTAGACTTAATGAATAATTACTTAACCTTTGCTTAAAAAGAAGTCAATTAAAGGAATTATATGTCTCATATAACTAAAAGGTTCCTTATATGAAAAAAAGTTACATGAAATATGCCCCCAACTAAGAGGCCCATTAGGATAATTACACCTCCAATACAAAACAAACAACAATTTTTGCTTATAGGTTAATAAATGCATATATTTCATTTTAGATACTTAAGTTAAGTATCGTTTTAATTAAACATCTCAAACTCCTAATAAAGTGGATCTCAATTTGATACTTTCTGTTCAAATTTGGAAGAAAAAATGTGTGTATTTTTTTAAAGTAATCACATAAAATATGTCATTTCTTTTATTCATACACAAATACTTAAAATAGAAAATATTTGGAATTTTACGATTTATTGAAGAAAATATTTATAATTAAAACTACAAATAACATACATTTTTATATCAACATGTGAGGATGCATATCTAGCTAGTCATGACTGTTAAAATGCAAATAATACGTGTGTGGATGCTAGCAAGATAAATCTCAAAAAACCATGATTTAGAAGATATATACGAAAAATATATAAAAAAAGACATAACTATTTAACGTGATTTTATCAATTGACCTACCCACAAAAGGAGATGAGAAACCCGTTAAATAAAAAAGAGTACAAACTATCAAGAGAGAAAACTACACAATTCACTTAGATATAAAAGAAATTCACACAAGTCATAATCCAGTACTTTACTTGTGTCTCTCAAATTCTCCGCTTAAATAAAAATTTTCAAAACTTCTTAAGGTTACATTGTGGATGCTTAATAGTTATCTTCGATGATATCTTTAACAAAACACTCAAAATTACTTTATTATCTGAAAACTTTAGTTGTAAATAACATTAATGTCACTGAAATAAGACCAATTTTTAGGATTTTCTTGTATAGAACCACTACACTTTGGGTCAGAAAAGTTTTAGGGGGAAATGAAGGGGCTTTAGGTTTGGAAAATGAATATGTGGCTTTAACGCGTAAATGGACTGAAGTTTCATTGGTTGCACTTTCGACGCGAAAAAGTGGATTTTACGCGCATAATCAACAAAAATATATTTACTGAAGTTTTGTGTCATGTCAAACAACGGTGTTTAAAAAGTAAAAATTATGACTGGTTAAAAAATTCAATAGGAAAATGACATAGCTGAGATATATGAGTAGAAAAACTCTACAACCTTATTATATTACGACCCTTGAAATAAAATTCAAAGTCTCAAAATATCATATGAACTTATAAAATATCTCAAAACATAACAAAAACGTGAAGCTATAGCTCAGATATTGAAATGTTATATAAAACTTACCATCCCACATAAAATTTAGTGGCATGGAATGCACAATTGTCAAAATATTTATTCTATCCTAGCTATAGTAAGTTTCGACCAAAAATAGCAATTGTAAAGTGGAAAAATTAAATATCAACCAATATTTTCAAAGTGACAAAAATAAAAAGATGTGGATCCTACACTATAAGAATAATAATTATTCCCTTTTATTTCCTCTTTTCTATAGAATTATTACAATTTTATTGAATACGTATTATTTTTTAAGTCTCAATTAAATTTACGATCCAAACATCTACTAATAATATCTTAACTTATATTTTTTTTAAAGTGATGGAAAACATATGTGGATCCTACGTCATATAAAGTTCTAAAGACCATACAAAATATTATAAATAATTATAATACATAGGGAAAACTAAAAAAACAGAAAAGAAAAGACAGGTTTGAAAAAAGGAGAGAACATATTGAGAAAAAAAATAAAATAAGAGGATCTTGGACTTTTTAAGTGCTAAGAGAACCATCTCTTCTCAACTTTTTTGAATTGCCAACCATATTTTTTGTTTTTTCAAAAAAAATATATCAAGTTGGATTTGCTCAATACAAAGTACCCAACCACAAACAATTTGAATCAATACCAATATTGATCGGGTCGTGATGGAATAATTTGAGATATCGCCATTTTAATTAGAGATTTTAAGTCCAACTAAATCTTGGTTTGCACGTCGTAGAAAGTTCATTTTCGAAGGCAGCATTTGTAATAAGATTTCTGTATAATTATTCAAGTAAATTAAAATATTTAATTAAAAAATTTTAATAGTTGAGTTAGTTAATCAATACTTGAATATTTACATTATTGATGATGATTCGACTCACCACTTTGAAATTACATTATTATCTTTATTTTATCTTTTAATTAAAATTCTTGAATTTGAGTCCGATTAAATTTTATGCTCACATTATAGGGATTATTATGGTGGAACTGCCAACTGATTTATTTATGATTATCTAAGAAGAATAAAATATTTAATTAAAAAGATTTAGTTATTTAGTTAGTTAATGAATATTTAAATATTCGCTTTATTGGAGATGATTCGGTTCTTCATTTTGTAATTGCATTGTCATTTCTCTTTTACCTTTTTTTTTTCCGTATAGTAAAATTTTAAAATATTAATAGTAATAATTATATGTTGACCTTCATATTCCTGTTTACGAATTTATCTTTTAAAAATTACATTACAACAATTACAGAGAATATTAAGAGTAGCTGAATCAGTTCTAATCATTAAGATATACTACATGTAAACTATATACATCGATGGTATACAACCTACAAAAATTGATAAATATATTTAGTGAAAGATACGTAAATCTCATTAGTTTAGAAATTAATTATTTAAAATACATTTAATTTATAATATTACATATCTTATCAGATTATGGTACCTCTAGATACATGTATCTCAGATACATGACCTTTCATGCTCATCACTCTCTCATGTATCTAGGATATATACAAATTTCGCTCGTCTTTATGTTTATGTTCTTTAATACCAAAACACCTCTTTAATTGATCGAAAATTGTTTAAGGTGTTACATTTTACCTAAAAAAATAGAATAAATCATGTAGCAAACTTCAATTATATGGGAATAAGCACATGCAAATTGATTGATTGAATTGTCACTAAGTAATAAATATTCAAGTATGACAATATATTGTTGTTTGTTTTTTAGTATCTTATGTCGATTAGCTTTAGGTCATTAAATTAATATTTCTCCATTTTAATTTATGTGACATATTTTTTCATCTTCAAAAAAATATCATATTTCTATAGTTGATCAATATTTTAATGACGTCATCTTCATTTTTATCTTTATTGATCACACTTAACACTTTATTATGAAGAAAACACTAACGGGACTTTAATAAAGGCAATTTCATAAATATATATTCTTAAACTTCGTATTAGAGCAAATGATGCCATATAAATTGAGATAGAAAAAGTATGTGATACGGTTAGGGGTAGCAATCAAAGTTTGAGCTAATTATTGACTTCTTCATTCATTACTTCAGATCATTTCAATCTATTAAACTATTATCTTAAAATCATAATAAAAAATAATAATAATTTTATTAGATATTAAAACTATAAAAGAACATATTGGACGAACTAGATTTTTAAAGACTTTTTAGCCAATTTTATTTTAATTCATTTTCTGTTGATTAAATTTTTAATTCAAATAAAATATCAAAAATACATCTAAATTATACATAAACTATGACTATATTATATTTAGACCTATTTTGCCTAATTATTTTTTTTTATTTTTGTTTTTGTCTCTATTGGTCATAGTTATTGGAATAGTCAAACTAATCTTACATTTCTTTTTTAAAAGATTTCTTTTCTTGTGGGCAAATTATGGATTCCAAATCCCTTTCACTCTTTTCTTTCAAACCAAACAAAAAAAAATTATAAATTGAAAGAAAAAGCAATCTTTGATTATACAGTCAGCAAATGCTTAAACATTTAAATAATTATGGCACTTTGTCCCTTTCTTATTACAACTTGTTGTTTAATTTTAGTTGATCAACTTTAGCTCATAAATTAATTTATTCTCTACAATTATGTAAAAGAATAATTAAAACTTGCTCTGAAATTCTGGGTATGTAATGACCCCATTTGCTCCTACTACTAGGAAAAGCATAAAGGATCAATAATATGGAGCTCCTTTAATTACTATTAATTGTTACTATTTCACAAATAATATCAATCCCTCTTCCAAGTCTTTTTTTAAAAAAAAACTTATTAATATATTCAATATAATATTACAAATAGAATTTCACAATAATAAAATCCATATAAATCTTATCTCTACCTTATAAATGTTATTTAATAGATTAGCGAGTAACCGTGAAGAAAATAAAAGAGAAAAAACAATACCTATAATAAATAATATGATAATAGAAACAAATAAAAAGAAAAAACAAGTAATAGAACTCTAAAATTAAGAAGGATAATAGGAGAGTTGCTTATATTTTTATTCAACCGAGGTATTTTTTTATAAAATATTTTTTCTAATTATATGTTTCTTACTCAATTTATGATCGATTAAATTCGAATTTACAATACTTTTATTTAAAGTGCAATTCCTTCATGTGAGTTTAGTATTAAGTACAAAATGTAAGTTGCATTGAACCATCGTTTTCTTCTTTTTTTTTTTTTACAAAGTAGAAATGTACTATACTACTAACTCTTATTAAAAGCTATTGAAATTAGTTGCCAACTTGTTAGGTTCTTCACTAGTTATCAAATTGACCAACAAATATGATCATACGTAAATGATATTTTCAGGTAATTTTCTAAACATACGCGACTATAGCTAAATTATGAATTACATGAATTATTTTGTGTTTTCAATTGCGTAAATTGATCAAAGGTAAAGAGTTTTTTTTAAAAAAAATTGAAATTTCTTCTCATTCTTTTTGCCAATTCTATATATCTTTTCTCAACAAAATTGCTTTATATGATTTACAAAAATGAAGGAAGAGGCCCCCAAAGTTATCAACAATAAAAAATTAACCCCCAATCAAAATGGCATGATGTGAGTAGTTTTAGTATCATAGCTAGTAGAAAGACAAGAAACTGCTTTGGAATTCACTCTAAAAACCTTCAGTAAATCGGCGGCCATTTGTCTCACCGCCGGCGAGCAATTACTTTGTAACAATAACAATATCTTCGCCATACCGTTACTCTTCGCTACCGATTCCTGTGCCCGGTGATCCCGGAAAAGGCAACACAAACTCCATAGAATCGTTACTGCATGTTCCGTTGCTTCGTTTGATACTTTCAATACTTTCTTCACTATCGCTTGTACACAATCTCCGTCGTTACACAGTTCTAATCTTCCTTCTTTACAAGTAGATATCAGTTCTAATAATCTCAATACTTTATCTGTTAATCCGGTTCCCATCTCCGTTGTCGACAATGCTTTTCCGACTGATTTCACCGCGCCGGCTTTTACAAGCTTCACCCGGTTTTTACGAAGCATTGCGAGAGAAATTAAACAGGAAACAGAGACTTCCATTAAATCGGGATTCCAATCGGTATTGATTGTTGAAAAACTCAATAAAACTGAGTATAAATCGGAGTTTTCTGATAAGGATGATTTAGCTTCGGAATCGGTTGATGTGATGAACTCTAAAGCTTTTGACATCTCCATTTTCAACTTTGAACTTCCATTTCTCAGAGCAAATATTATCGCCGGATATATATCGTTTGCTTTCCCGATTTTCGATAAGGAACCTCGTTCAACCAACAGCATTTTCCATAGAGGTACAATTTTCTCCACAACTTTAAGATTTTTAGGGTTGTGAACAAGGAACGAAGTGAGAATCGCGAGAAAATCACTCTCCGCCGCTACAGAAGCCACAAATCGAAGATTCTCAGCTGATTCTTCTGAGAAACCTAAAAGCTTCGATAACCGATCCGAGTTCACCTCCAACTCAGAGTGAACTCGGAATTCGTTTACAAACTGTTTAATTAGCTCACGAACTTGATCGTGACTAACTGAGTTAACTCGGTTAGACTCCGTATCGGAACGCTGAGCCCGGACCGACTCAGACCAGATCTGGATGAGTCGTTGTAGTGTATAGTTAGGTACAAGGTCCTTAGTTTGTAGCACTTGCATGGTGGCCGGACATGTATTATTACCGCTGTCAAGCCACCGCTGGATGCTACTCCGGTCATAAGTAACTCCGGTGCATAAACTCACCGGAGATTTCATCACGTCGAGTGATATCGGACACCGGAAAAAACTCGGCACCGTTACGTACAGATCATCCTTCCGCATTATTTTAGAGAGAGAAAGTCACAAATGCACAATTTTTTTCAATTGTTCGGTGGGTCAAGGTTTTTTTTTTTAGAGAGAGAAAGGAACAGAGAAGAATGAGAGGTGGGGGAATTGGGAAAGAAGGGGTTTATGAAGAAGAAAACAGAGTCAAAGGAATGGTGACGTCATTTAGTGGAAATTCCTTTGGCTTTTTTTTTATTTAGTTCTTTTATTTTTTAATTCCTTTTTCACTTTTTTTATATATATATATATTTTTTATTTTCGCGTTTTCAATTGAAATTAGAAAAATAACATATATAATAAAAGTTATATTGCAATAATTAAAAATAATATTATTTATTTATATTAAAATAAATAAAGTAACATATATTGAACTGAACCGATGCCGATGTTTTATATTGGTGAAATGGTCAATGAAAAGATGGTTTTTTTATTCAATTTAAATGGGAAAAAAAGTTAAGCACATTGGGTGTTCCAATGAGGTTCTTTTCTTTTAGTGTGCTTTGCTCATTGCCATCCAATTTACAAGCTTCTTTTTACTTTCTTTATTTTGTTAATTAATTTAAATTTGGATTCTTTTTAATTTTTTGTCTTATCTAAAGAATATAAACGATTAATGTACTTCATTGATGGTTAAAATAGTTTTTGAAAGATCAAACTTTTATTTTATATGAGGGAATTAACAAGTACAGTCTCTCCCACTAGTTCATAATGATTGTACGTGCGCCATTACTGTAAAAGTTGAAGTTAATCCTTTTTTTAATTACTTGTTTATCCAAATTTAGATGCTCCCAATTGCATTATTGTATAAAATTACTCATAGTGGAAAAAATGATAGCTTTTACGAATAAAATATCAAGGTTAATTTTGTTTTACCCCAAATATAAGCAATTAAAAAGAAAGTAACGTTCATTTTCAAAGAAGTAAGACAGATATATTAGAAGTATATGAAACGTATGTAATAAGAGTTCACTTTAGTTCGCGGGTGAATATCTATGTGCTCCATCTCTAGTGAGGATGTTGTTTATTATCGAAGAGTTTCACGAGAAAAAAGTTGAATAATTTTATATACAATTTAATATCTCTAATTAAAATAAAAAAATAAATACTTATCATCCCGGTACAATTCGTATTAGTATTAAAAGAACTATATTGAACTTACTTTGGATTTAAGAAGACAATTTATTTTCTTTAACCTCAAAATTATAATTTTTCTTTAACCAAAAATAAATAAATAAAGTAGTCCTAGTTTAAACTTTTTAAAATAGAATGGGGGACCAAATTCCGGAAATTACAAGGCATAGTATTATTAGGATGGGTCACTATGGTCAAACTTATGTGGGCCTATCAAAATTAGTAGCTGCACAGAGATTTATGATATAATAATTAATTCGTTTCAATTTTTTTGTCTAATTTATGTAATATTTTAAAAAAATTATTTAAAAAATTAAAATTTGTAGGAGTTTAGTGAGAATTTACTCGAATAGCTTTGTGATCTTCTGTATGTTACTTAAAAAATATATATTTTAGACAAATAAATTAAAACGTAATGAAGATTATTTAGGTGACGCTAGAGGATGGTGGTGGGATTGGATTAGGTTCCATTCGAAATTGTTGCGTATGATGAGGAAAAGGAACGTGGGCTTATTGGGCCCACTTTCAGTGAGGCAATAAGTTATTATTTGGGCCTTTATTTAATGGGCCCTACGTATTTGTTCGCTTGGTCGGTTCGTGACACAAAACGCACGGCTGGTGATTTGCTTTTTGTATAAATATAAATTAAAATAATAAAAATATTGTGCAACTTTAGACGTATTTTTAGTCAAACCTATTTCCTCCACTTTGTTTCTACTTTTTTTTTTTAATATATATAAAATTTATTTATAATTTTCACTTTTTTTTATAAAAAAAATAACTCCTCCATATTTTTTTTTATTTTATAACCAATTTTAGTACTCCTCTTTTTTATTTATTTTATATGTTTTTATTTGATTTAAAATAAAAAGAAAAATTAATATGTGAATAACAAAAAATTTGTAGACTATAGCACATGAAAATAGGTAAAATCTGTATTTATTTACTTTGAGGCTCGTTAAAACTTGAAAATGCGCATGTTTTTTGCACGGGATGAAGTGAGTCCGTAGCTAAGGTCTTAGAGGACGTCTATGAAAAATTTCGACCATTTTGTTTCGGGAATTCTGGATTACAAAAATTCATAGACTATATAGTAATGAAAATCGGCAACATCTGCATTTACCTGCTTTGGGGCTCGTTTGAACTTGAAAATGCATTTGTTTTCCTCGCGGGACGAAGTAGGTCCATTACTAAGGTCTTAATGGACGTCCATGATAAATTTCGGGAATTTTGTTTTGGAAATTCCGAATCACAAAAAATCTCTGGACTATAGCACACTAAAATCAGAAAAATCTACACTTACCTTCTTTAGGGCTCGTTTGAACTTGAAAATGCTCTCGGTTTTCCCCACAGGATGAACTGGGTCCATAACCAAGGTCTTAACGGATGTCCATGACAAATTTCGACCATTTTATTTTGAAATTCCGAATTACAAAAATTCATGGATAGTACACGAAAATCGGCAAAATTAGTATTCACCTACTTTGGGGCTCGTTTGAACTTGAAAATGCGTCTTTTTTTACTATGGGACGAACTGAATCCATTGATAAGGTCTTAACGGAAGTCCATTAAAAGTTTCGACCATATTGTTTTTGAAATTCTGGATAAGTAAAATTTGTGGACTATAACATACGAAAATCGGCAAAAATCTGCATTTACCTATTGATCTCACTAATTTATAGTTACTTTTAGCTCTAAATTATAACTTTTTTTAAAAAATTATCAGTGTATATAGTCTAAACGACTCCCTCGCAATTATATTTTCTATTTTATAATTGGTGGTTAAAATACTAGCTATCATATTGAGTAAAACTAAAAGGTGCATGTTTAAATTGTGTGTCAACCTAACGGCACTTACAAGAATATATACTTACAATTTACGTTTTAAAACTAGTATTTTATATATATATATATATATATATA